ACAAATTAATCAAAGTATTGTCCATCGCTGGCTACTACTTTTTCCCACCGCTCAGGCAATTCTCGAATTCCATCTCGAAAAAATGTCTCGTCGCTTGAGGCGATCTAAGTTTGGAGCCAATTTTCGATTTCTGCGAAAGAAATAATCAGGTGACCTGCCAAATCGTGCTGCATCCGTCGGAACAACCAGTAATCATAAGGAGCAATGTCAAGCGAATATGGCGGGTGCTGTAAAATAACCCTCTTAAGCTTTTACAAATAATTTTTTACGATTTTTGCGACATGAGGCCGAGCGTTACTATGCAGAAGAATAACTTTGTCATGTCTTCGCTCGTATTCCGGCCTTTCTTCGTACGGAAATTGCTTGTTGCGTAACTCCTAAAGATTCTGCAAGCTCCTCTTGCGTTTGACTCGGATCTTCATCGAGTAATGCTTCCAATTCTTTGTCATGGATTTTTTTGTCTGTCCGGAGTGAGACTTGCCTCCAACGCTAAAATCACCATTCTTGAAACGTCGAAATCATTCCCTACATGATTTATCCGTTAGATCACTGTCACCATAATCTTTTACAAGTATTCGATCCGCTTGAGCTGCACTTTTCTTCCAATTAAAGCTGAAAACTAAAACCTCCCCCAAATGATGCTTAGTTAACACAAAATTTGACATATTTAACACAGTAAAAAACAGGGGTTTAATACAAGGGCAGTCCGATAAGTACTTAGCCTACAAAAGAAAAACGAAAATTTTGGAAAAGTGGCGATTTATTTCTCAACATAGTCTCCTTTCAGCTCGATACACTTGATCTAGCGGTGCTCCAACTTCTTTAACACATCTGAAAAATACGTTTTTTCGAAATCTGCAAAGTAAGCCTCCGTGGCGGCGATGACCTCCTCATTCGACTCAAATTTTTGCCCGGCGAGTGACTTTTTTAATTTTGGAACAAAACAAAGTCGCACGGGGCCAAATCTGGAGAATACGGTGGATGGGGCAGCAGTTCGTAGTCCAATTCAACCAATTTGGCCGTGGCGACGGCGGAGGTGTGAGCCGGTGCGTTGTCATGGTGGAAGAGCACTTATTTCTTTGCCAAATGGGCTCGTTTTTTCTGCAATTCGGCGTCGAATCGGCCCAATAATTCGGCATAGTAGAGCCCTGTGACCGTTTTGCTCTTCTCCAGGTAGTCGATGTAGATCACATCTTGTAAATCCAAGAATACGGTGGCCATCAACTTTCCGGCCGATAGCACAGTCTTCGTCTTCTTCGGAGCACGTTCGTCGGGTGAAGTCCACTGTTTTGACTGTTCCTTGGTCTCTGGTGTGTACCAATGGATCCATGTTTCGTCGACGGTCACAAAACGACGCAGAAACTCCTTCGGATTGCGCTTAAACAGCGTCAAACACTGCTCTGAAGTGGTCTCACGGTTGCGCTTGTTGTCCGGAGTGAGCAACCGCGGCACCCATCGTGCCGACAGCTTTTTCATGACCAAAATTTCATGCAGGATATGACCCACGCGGTCTTTTGAGATGCCTACTGCTTCAGCTATCTCGCGCACTTTCAATCGGCGGTCTGCCAATTGTATATGCGTATTGCAGATACACACATCTATTCACCCACACGCACGCAGAGAGAGAGAGANGAGAGAGAGAAATTAAAGAAAGACACATGTCCGTCGGTATACATGTTTGTATACATAAAAATGAAGATTTTTTTTTTGCCAAATTGAAGGATAAAAGAATTTTTTTCCCAAAAACTATAGACTTTGGAAAAAAATTGCTAAGAACAAAAATGTCTTAGAATCAGTCAAGGAACACTCTCAAATTTTTTCAGAATTTTTAAAGACATTTTTGGAAAATTGGATTTCCCGAATTTATAAGAAAAACAAAAATTGTCTGCAAAAATTCTGAAAAAAATTTTAGAGTGTTCCTTGACTAATTCTAAGACATTATTATTCTTAGAAACTTTT